TCTCCACTGTATTGTTGTTTTCATTCCCACCTTCACAGGTAAGTGAGTCCTTTTCAGGGAGTGAATCTTTGCCTGGCCTCCTAAGCCTTCCTTTGAAATCTGGGTAGAAGCTTTCCTGACCTCAGAAGTCACATTCTACATACCAGAAAGATCAGCATCATGTAAATGATGCCAAGGTCTGTTCTCAGTGCACACAGTATCCACGCCCCCTTGGACCATGGCTCCAGGGATCTTTGGGTGCCCAGATGAATGGGCACAGTGAAATGAACCTTGGATAAACAATTCCTTTGGAGGCCCTTTTCAAGCAGGAATCCCAGGGACTTTTCTGAAATGAGGGGTGGACACTTTTGCACACCCAAGGTTGCAGTTGGTAAGGTCTTTCTGATTACTGAAATGCTGTCAAGCAATCTTTTCTTGACCCTGTAGAAAGTACTTTTTCTTTTTAGTGGCATAAATTTCTTCAGCAACTACACCTCCTCTGGCCCCAGTTTTTGTATGGTTCCTTTGGCCAAAATTTAAGATTTTCAACTTTTCTGCTTTGTGCCTCTGGTTCTCACATAATCTGGCTAAAATCAACTAGCAGTATCCATGCCACAGTGTGAAAGTTGGGCTGCCTTGAAATTTCCTCACCAGATTGGTTATTCCTCTCCCCTTACACAGAACCTCCCCGAAATTCTCAGGACATCAGCAAAAGTAGACTTTGTTTTTGTTTTTTTTTTTTTGGCCAGAATGTAATATACATAGTCTAGTTGCTAATGAAGTCCTTACTCCTAACTGAAACTTCCTGATCCTGGCCTTTACCATCCACATTGCTATCAGCATTCTCATCTTTTGAGGTACAACTAGAGCCACCAAACTCTGCTTACTGCATTCTAGGTCTTCTCTAGCTCAGTTCTCCAAATTTTTCTAAATGCCTCTCACAAACTAGTTCCAAAGGTTTCTAAACTACATGGTCACACAGCCATAGCAACAACTCTACTTCTGTGGTACTATTTTCTTGTGTTAGTCAGTTTTCCAGTTGCTGAAACACAATAGTAGATACCCACAACCTAAAGGAGGCGACATGTAGTTTGGCTTATGGTTTCAGAGGATTCAGTGCATGTATAGTTGTCTCCAAGGAAGAGACATCATAGCAAAAGGATGTGGCAAAGCAAAGATGCTTAGCTCTTAGCAGCAAGGAAGCAGAGCAGGGGACCAGTGCCAGAGAAAAAGGGGTGAGGGATCTATGCAATACTCAAAATCATGCCTCCATGACCCATCTAGATATATCCAGAGTGTGCTTTAGTAATCTTACGCATCTCCCAAGCCAATCAAGTTGACAAAATTAAGCCTAACTACTACACATATAAAAGAGGAATTAAAGTTCCTTTTGATAAATGGATTCCATGAAAGTCTAGACTTTATTGCTATCTTTGTTAAACATTTTTCTCTGCCTGTGCCCATACAAAATGCAGGGGCAGAGCACATGTTCAAGTAGTTATGTGATCTCATAAAACTCATTCAGAGAAACACATGTTTATATGGTGTTTATGATTAATAAAACTTAATGTCACACCATAAGAGATTTAGTAACAAAACAAAACCCTGGACTATATGTGTGATAAAAACCAGAAGAAGTCAAATTAATGAAAGGTAGTTTTGTTTTTTTTTAATTAATAAAATATGAAAATGGCTGTTTGGGAATTAAGGCTACTGATTTGCCTTCTTTTATAACATTCAGGTGAAGTATGCAGACATAGCAAACTCTGATTCTGACTACCCTTTTCCTTCATCTTTCATAGGCAGTCTTTCTCTGCAGGTACCTGAAAAAGGTATACTTGAGCCTAGTGGTTTAGCACAGCTACCACCAGTGTAAGAGATCTTTAATTCTCTGATTTTCAGCTCTTACCCGTAAGTTGAAGTGGGAGAACTAGGAAGCATTTTTATAGTATGAAAAAAGTTACATTCATATTATAATTGCCTCTTATTTTAAAGTCACAATGCCTACTTTGAAATTTTGAATAACAGTTACGAAAGTCATGAGATACTTATGTTTCTCACAGCAAGCATGGATGTAGTAAAACAATTACTTTAAAATGAGGCTGTTATTTTATTTTGAGATTCTCTGATTCTGAGGATGTACTAGAAATTTACAAAGACTACTTTTTTTACCTGATTTTATGTATTCTTATTGATCCTGTTTATGGTTTTCTCTATTACTTGAAGAAAGCAACATTGACCAGATTAAAAAGGTTGAATTCTGATGTTATTTCTCTTCTACCACGTTACAATTTACTATTTTTGTGATAATGCTGAATTGTGAAAGCAAGTATGTTAGTATTGATAGGCTCTAGAATTGAGGGGTAATTTTTTTAATTGTTGAAAACAAATTTTAGTAAGATAGAATTTAAAAATAATGAATGTTCATTTCAAGAGTATGATGCCAAGTCTTGAGAAATGGCTACTCATGTAACCATTACTGTAGTTAAGACATAAAAAAAAACTCCACTACCCCAGAAAGTTACTTTATTTCTCTTCAGTCATTCCCACTCCTCTAGGCAATCACTTTTCCAGTTTTTGTTGCTGGGGCTTAGTTTTCCTCCCCTGTCTTAGAATCATCTTTCTCCACTTCTGACTTTGTGTAGCATGATATTGTTCTGATTCACTTATGTTCATGGAGTAGTTGCATGTGTGTAAGTAGTCTTTTTTTTCTCTTGTCTTGCTAGGCAGTGTTTCATTGTAGAGATACAACACAGGTGTTGATCTGTTAATAGTTGTTTGAGTCATTCTTGGGCAGTATTTCATTGTAGAGATACAGCACAATTGTTGATCTGTGAATGGGTATTTGGCTTATTTCAGTTGTTTTAGTTTTTATGAACAAAACTTGTGAGCATTTGTATTTTATGTAGATGTGAAATTTCTTTCACTTGGGAGTGGAATTGCTAGGTCATATGTAAGTACATGCTTACTTTCATAAATTTTCCATCTGTTTTGCCACAAGGTTGTATATACCCACCAACAATGATAAGGGAGTTCCAGTTGTTCCATATCCTTGGCAACATGTAGTATTATCAGTCTTTTTTCAGTCATTCTGGTTGATAAATAGTACTTTCATTGTGGTTTTAATTTATGTTTTCTTGATGATTGCGGATGTTAAGCACCTTTGTATGTTCTTATTGGCCACTGGTATATCTTTCTGATATGTTTAATTGGTGGTTTTTTGTTTTTGTTTTTGAGACAAGGTCTCATTGTGTAGCTCAGGCTAGCTTTGAACTCACTAGCCCAGACTGGCCTTGAACTTAAGGTGATTCTCCTGCCTCAGCCTCCTAAGTGCTGGGTTTCTAGCTCTGCACCACATGCCAGGCTTTGATATGTTTGCTTAAATCTTTTGTTTCTTTTAAGACTTACCTTCCATTATTGAATTGTAGAGTTGCTTTTAAAAAAATAGAATCCAGAATTCGTGTCTCAGCAACAAGAAAGTGACTAAGACAAAGGATATGCTTAGCATTCTATATTAATGTTGCAGTAAGACTGCAACAGTAAGACTGTAACGTTCTATATTCTGGCTAATAATGACATGTCATGAGTATGTGGGCCTATTGGCAGTCTTTTATCTAATCCTCATTTAGAAAACATGAAACTTGAACTCCGACTCTACACAAAAAGTAATGTAAAACAGATCTTGGCCCTAGACATTAAAAAATAAAACTTTTCAAAAGCAAATATAGGAGAAAATCTTTAGGATCTTTGGATAGGTACAGTTCTCCTAGGATGCAAAATCCATCAAACATAAAAGCCCCCCCCCCGCCAAAAAAAACCAAACAGGTAAACTAGATTCAAAATTAAAAATACCTATTCTTCTAATGACACTATTTAGAAAACAAAAGGGCAAGCCACAGACTGGGAGACAGTATTCATAATACAATACAAATATGATGGAATTATGTTTGATGGATGTTTGATGATCCAGTCACCTTCTAAAAGCCCCATCTCGGAAAACATGAAGTTTTGGTGGGGAGCCTGTCAGATCTAAACCATAGTACCCTTTGTGCATCAGACTTATGCAAAAGGTTATGATCCTTTGTATAAAATCTTTACTCAGAAGTAGATTGAGTCATCATTAGCTTTTTGAATTGTCATTAGCTCTGTGTTATTTTACATCTTATATATTGTGATTTGGGTAAATATTTGGTTTCCGCAAAGCTGAAAGTATACCTTAGGTCTGGCCAGCACAGAGTTTAGCTTCTTCAGATCTGATCTGTAATAAAACAGGACCGATTAAAGTTCTACTCTGGGTCATTCATTTTCCTTTGGCTGTGGTCCTCTTTCTCACACTGCCTGGACAATTTTTATTTGCTGCTTAAATAGAAGGAAAGCATACTTTCTGTGGGAATCAGGTAGGTACTGTATTTGAAAGAATTGGTTGAACTCACAGGTCTTTCTTTCCATGTTTTTCCTTTTCCTGCTTTCTGTTTTTGTTTTTGGGGGTTTTTTTAGCCAATTTTTCTTTCTTTTGAACTCTTCTCTTTCTCTTTCCCTTTTGGAGAAATAGCTGCAGGTGCTCTACAACCCCTCTTTTCTTTGTATAGTGTGTTTTCCTGAGTTTAAGATTTCTATTTCCATAGGCTTTTATCCTACTGTCTCAAAATGTTTGATTTTCTTGGGTTAAATACCAATTAGAGCACAAGTCAGAGGGGAAGGATTTTATATTATAAGTACATAGCATAGATATGAATAGGCTTTCCTTTTAACTATCTCATCTCAAATACTTCAGTAGTCCCAGTTTGCCACAGCTGTTTTAATCTTGGAGCAGTTCTACTCTACCTGTTTCCCATGAGAATCCAGTATATAAGACTCTGTAATATTCTTTGGTGTTATTTAGTGCTCTTTTTTTGTATGTGGGTTTGATTAGCTATCTTGTGTTTCTCCAGATAGAAAACAGTTCATTATTAATACATGATCATTGTCTTTTTCTTTCTATTTTCTCTTCCTTCTCTTTTTACCCTGTGGTTCTTGTGCAGGTCTTGTTCAACGTTGTGTGATCATCCAGAAAGATGACAACGGATTTGGGCTGACAGTCAGTGGAGACAATCCAGTCTTCGTACAGTCTGTCAAAGAAGGCAAGGCATTTTTTAAAACAGTTTGTTCCTTGGGAGTAAATAGAGTAAAAATAGGAGAGCTTCAGTAAGGTCTGTTGCTTAAAATGGAATAATTACACAGATTGCAGGTCCTGGGGACTAGGTTTGTCTGTGGTACTATTGGAATGAATTTACTGTAGGAATGAACGAGAGTACTCTAGTTCTCTAATACCCTAGTACTCTAGTTGACTGTCTTTTTACAGTTCTTAGCTTTACAAATCATGATTCCTTGGCCATGATACTTTATATGACATCACTTACAGATGTTACTAGAATTGCATTTCTTCATCACACCAGCAGTATTTTGGTAGGGACAGATTAAACAGATGATTATAGACTCAAAAATAGAAATTCTTTTGCCAAAACTGTAAATGTTTTGCTGTTACCCTATATTAGATACATCCTTAACCTTGGGTGCTATAATTTGAGCTAGATATTTTTATTTTTCATTGTATAGGTGACATTGAGGCCCAGAATAAAAAACACTTAAATCCCAGTCATACAACTACTAAATGGCAGAGGCAGAATTTGAAACTAGTATGTCTGACTTGATGGCCCATATTTTTAGCTGCTTTGATATGTCTTTTTAAAGAAAATTATCAATGAATGCAAATGAAGCATATTTAAAGAAATTAATATCTTATACAGATGGAGCAGCCATGCGGGCTGGAGTACAGACAGGTGATCGAATCATCAAGGTAAGGAAAAGACTAGGAATTCATGGTAGAATTAAAAAACAACATATATCAGCTACATTTTTAAAATGTGGATTTTTGTGAAAAGCAGCACATTTCATATGGATCATTTGAGTATAAAAACTCACTTGATTTGTTTTAAATTAATATTACCCTTCACTGAAGGACATAATAAAAGGTTTGAGTAAATGCATTTATATATGCTCTTGTATAGAAGAATAAATCACTGTTACAAAGGTCATTTCTTTCCAGTTTAATCTGTTTGCAAGAAATTATCTTCAGAATATACATATAGAATTGTGATGTTGTATTGTTACTTGTCAAACTGATGGTTCTTGTATATGAACTTTATAGAGACAGAAGACTGAAGAGGGTTGGGAATATAGCTCAGGGGGTGAGCACTTACCTAGCATGTGTAGGCCCTGGATTCAGTCCTTAACACTGTAAAAATAAAAACACTAGATGAAGAAAAAATTGTATTCTGTACATGGGTATGTATGAGAGGAGGTATTATGGATTAATTGTAAGTATGTGACACTACCGTAGATATATGCGTGCTAGGAGAACATTATAGTCCAGGTACATGTCTGGAATTCTGATTTGTAGAGATAGAGTGGACTGGTCAATAATTATTCCTGAAATAATTGACTAATTTAATTACCTAAAATCAAAGTGTTATATTGGAAAAGATAACATGAACATATTTTACAAAAATAATTTGAAAAAAATATTTGAATGCATTATGGAGTGGGATACCCTTAGCTGTTATAAGAACTTTTAAATTACTAAGAAAATAATAATTTTAATACAAAAGTAAAGATTATCCTCAGGCAAAGGCCATAGTATTTGAAGTAAATAACAATTAATGAAGACATGTCCAGCCTCAGAGATAACAAAAGAAGTAGAAGTTAAAATGATGAATAAAAAAATACAGAACCTGCCCCCACAATGTATACACACTTCAGGAAAAGAAAAACTGATGTAAATATTTTAAAATTAAATATATTGAGACATCATGAGATTAATACAAATTACCTTTGGCCCCTCAAATACAAGAGGTGCTCTCAAAGTGGTGGCCTGGGGGCTGGGGATTTAGAGGGGCTGGGGATTTAGCTCAGTGGCAAAAGCGTCTGCCTGGCAAGCGCAAGGTCGTGAGTTTGGTTCCCAGTACCGGAGAAAAACCAAAAAAAAAAAAAAAAAAAAAAAAAAGTGGTGGCCTGGTCATTGAGATTGCTGCACATACATTTTCAATTTCTTCTCTAAGGACTGATAGTATAGTGGTTTTTCTGTGATATACAACATCCTCTAGGTTTCCCCCATACAAGGGTATCACCATCTGTTTTTTAAAAAAAAATCGTACTATTTTTCTTTTCCTGAATTTTGTATACATTTTCTTGGCAGAGTGCACTGCGTATTTGATTACTGGGAAACTAAAAGACTGACAATACACACTTGGCATAGTATGGGTATAGTAAATTGACTGCTCTCATGAATTTGAGTATAAATTAGGTAAAATCTGTTTGGATAGAAATTTATGAGTACATGTCAAAAGGCTTTAAGAAAATGTCTCATCTTTGACTAGAAATTTTGCTTTTAGGAACTTATTTAAGGAAATAAGCATAAAAATGAGAAATGGTATGTGTACAGGAAAATTCATTTTGGCTTTATCACACTGAAGACTTATAAACAATCTGAATATGGGTACGAGAAATTGTATTTTAGCTGCAGTCTGTAGAAAGAGTGGATTAGACCTATATGTATCTATAGTGAAAGGCATTCAGATTTCAGTGGAAAAAAAGGCAGTTATAATATGTACATGTATATATCAGTCTGGTATTTGCATGGTAGAATAGCATTTCTTAAGATTAAACGTCATAGTTACAATAGTGACATCTCTGGGCAGCATGAATATACTTTTATTTCTGTTTTATATGCTTATGTATTTGAATGTTATATTAGTATTACTTGTATCAGAGAAAAAAATTAATGTTAAAGCTATGACTTGATATTTTACCTTAGTTTAGCTTTTAAGACTTTGAATAATATGTTTTAATTAATTTTCTTTGTGAAAATTATACTATGTTTGGGAAACTAAAATTGAGTATTATTATGGGGATACTGATTATTTTTCATTTTTTTTTTACTTATTATAATTTTAGCAAATCAGTGAACTGGTAATTAAAAGCAAAGGTATCTTCCCTAATTACACTAGTTCTTCACTGTGAAAAAGTTGTAAGTCTTCTGTGGCATATTTTATCATTTGTCATAGGGAATAGTTATAATGTCCTTTAAATCAAGGTCTTGCTTTGTGTTCAAGTTTATTTTATTGCTGAATATATCTTATAGAACAGCAGTAAAAGTGAATTTTGTAATTGCCTTTAAATGAAGGCTTTATATATTCTTTTTTGTTGCTGGATATAACTTATAGCATAGAGGTAAAAGTGAATTTTAAACCACACAAAAAAAAACCAGAATTTTTTTTTTTTTTTTTTTTTTTTTTATGGTAAGGGGAATTGAGCTTAGGGGTGCTCTACCACTGAAGTATATCTCCAGACCTTTTATTTTTTATTTTGAGACAGTATCTTGCTGAGTTGCCCAGACAGGAATCAAACTTGTTATTTCCCGCCTTAGCCCTCCTTTGTGGTAGAATTACAGGCATGCCCCACTGTACCTGGCTCAAAATGCATGCAGGTATTTTAATGTAACCTTGTTGATTATATTATAATAGGTTATATTGCATATGGTAATTTTTGAAGTCAATTTATTCATTGTCTCAGTAGGATTATTTCCATTTTCTTATAGGTGAATGGAACTCTGGTGACTCATTCAAACCATTTGGAGGTGGTGAAGCTAATCAAATGTAAGTGAATGTTTTCTCAATTTTGAATGTTTTCTGATGCCGTTAAAATGAGGATCAGCAAATGTTTCCTGTAATATGCCACATAGCAAATATTGTAGACTTTGTAGGCCATGTAGTTTACTTCTGGACTCTATCATTGTAGCACAAAAACAGCCATGGAGAAGCAGACTCACCTCTTGTCTCTTCAGGGTCAAAAGTGGAGAGTGCTTCACCAGCTTGGCAGTGAGGCATGGTCAGGCCAGGCTTCTGCAGGGCCTTGCTTTCCCTACCTTCATAGGCATACAGGAGTGTTCAGTTATCCTGTGAGTTTTGCTTAAAAGTGGTGATGGGTGAACATTTGAAATCTTGGAGTTGGGTGAAGTCTGAGCACCACATGTTATAGTCCCTGGGCCTCAGTTTCACTTTGTTATTTGTTAGCCCCACCTGTTTCCCAAAAGATATTTTATATTTTCTAATTGTTTCATTTATTGAATGGCTAATAGTATCATCGTTATAGCAGAAGTAGAAAAAGTCATACAACGGTTACCTAAAACACAGCCGTTCTTTCTTTGTTCTGGCTTTATTGGAGCCCTGAGTATTTATTACATCTTTTACAAGAAAACAAAAAGTTTAAAATAAACTGAAATACAATAAAAAGAATTTATGATCTTTTGCCTCAGATTCTTTCATAGTAGGCTAGAGCAGAGTCACTAATATTTTACTTAATTCTATTTCATTTCACTGAGTAGACAAACGTTTTTTGTTTGTTTTGTTTTGTTTTTGAGTTTTTGAGACGAAGTCTAGCTGTGTAGTCCTGGCTGATCTCATTATGTAGCCTTGCACTCACAGCAATCCGCCTGCCTCAGCCTCTAAGTGCTGGGATTACAGGTGTGTGCCACCTTGCCCAGCTGAGTAGCTAGACATCTTTAATATAAATTTGTAACCTGAATTCTTTCTTGACCTTGTTGCTTAGATTAAGTAACCCTGAATTCCTTTGGCTTTTTATCAGAGTATCAGTGTTTTAAATGGTCATTTTGATCATAGTTATTAACTTTAGCACATTTTAAAAGAAATACAGTGATCAAAATTAGCTTCCATACCTGAATAAACCTGGATAACAAGGAGGTTGTGACTTACACATTTTTGCATGCTACATAAATAAGATAGTTTATATTAATATGAAATGCCTGTTGTCTATTATAGTTTATAAGAAGTAAGAATATTTCTTTAGCCTTCTAGATTACTTTTTGTTTATGCCAATGTAAATTTTGGTTTATGCCAATGTAAATTTTTCTTTAAAAATTATATTAGTACAAGACATGGTGGCACATGCCTGTAATCTTAGCACCTGGGAGGCTGAGGCAGGAGGATTGCTGCAAGTTCGAGGCCAGCCTGAGCTGCATAGCAAGACCCTGTCTCAAAAAACTAAACAAATAATAATTGTGTGTTGGCATTATAGCAGTAGATTACTTGTCCAATATTGGGGGCATAACTAAAAACTTGAAGTTAAGTATAAAACATTAAGTATCCAAAACAGATACACACTTGACATGCCCGAAACCTATGTAGTTGTCTTAAAATAGTTTTCTCATGTCCTACTTTTTAATACCTATTCTAGACATCATAGATGTGATTTCAAATTGCTACTCTTCAGAAGAAGCAAAAGAAGGGAAGGGAGGAGCTAGGAAGCTACTGGGGGCAATCACATAGGCAAGTAATATGTGACGGCTTTCTGAAGGACCAGTAAGTCTGAAAAGCCTTAGGAAATATTTATACTTCCGTTCAGTTGTTGATGATGAGTTGTATAGGAAATTTAAATTGGGAAACAAGTGCAAAATACATTTAAAAGTTCTACTGAAAAGTTTAACAAAAAAGTTTCATTTTAAGATAGTTATTTCTAAGTCGTTTATTTGGAACATCTCTTTTTTTGGTGCTAGATAATGTATGTTTGTTGTTCAGTTTTTCTCATTATGGGAAATTTGGCTGTGTAGATTTTTTCCCTTTTGTAATATGTCTAGTAAATTTCTGTTCACTTTAATAGATTTTTCAATTAAAATTTGCTACTGACTGGGCCAGATGTGGTAGTGCATGCCTGTAATCCCAGCACTTGGGAGGCTGAGGCAGGAGTATCGCTGCAAATTCAAGGCCATGCGGGGCTACATAATGAGTTCAAGGCCAGCCTGAATTACATAGCAAGACCCTGTCTCAAAAAACAAACAAATAAAATTTGCTACTTACTGTCTTTTCCTCTTCTTTATGGAATATATTTTAATAATATTTATTTTGTAAAGTTAATTGAAAATTGTGTTGTTATATTCCAGAATGTTATGTAAACCCTGCCTAATTAGTACATCCTAAAATAGAAAGATTGTAAAATTTACATTTTAGAAATTACTTGAACCATAGCTATTAGTAGGTGATTGTTAACCATCTCTCTATTAAGTAAATATATCCTTGGGGTTATAAATTTTATTTGCTTTTAAGTAATAGCTAATCCTGTGAGTAGTAGTTTGCTATCCAAAAGTGTTGTAGCATTGTTCTTTTAGATTTTTTAAACACTTACATAAAATATAATGTATTTTTTTTCCCTGTGTGGAGAATTAGCAGATGATAGGACTTCCTCATGTAACAATATTTTAGAACTGCTGGATTAAGTAGTAAATGCTATATAAAGTTCCTTGACAATGTTATCTTTCTATCCTTTATTTTTTTTCCATCTCTCTACCCCAAGCTGGTTCCTATGTAGCTCTCACTGTTCAGGGACGCCCCCCTGGGTCGCCCCAGATTCCACTTGCTGATTCTGAAGTAGAGCCATCAGCTATTGGACATATGTCTCCCATCATGACCTCCCCTCATTCACCTGGAGCATCTGGGAATATGGAGAGAATCACTAGTCCTGTGCTCATGGGGGTAAGACTAGGAAAAGTTTGATAGTAAATGCTTGGTTGTATAAGGAGCCTTTGCTTTATTTTAAGAGCTTTGAAGAGCCAGGTGTGGTGGCATACACCTGCAATCCCAGCACACTGGGAGACTGAGATAGGAGGAATGAAAGTTTGAACCTGGCCTGTGTAACTTGGCAATTTACAGAGACCCCGTCTCAAAATAAGTAAAATTTATAAAAATCGGGGATTTAGCTCAATGTGAAAAAGTATCCCCCCAAATAAACAAAAGAATGTTGAAGTATTGAACTGATAAACAAATTCAAGATTCTAGAAAATAACTTCCTAATAGACAAATTACATAGTAATTTGGAATGATAAACCTATATTGTCATGTATACCTACCATGTGTAAAACAGTGTGCCACCCACAAAAATATAATTAAGATACCCTATGCTGGAGGTCTTTAGTCTTCTTAGAATGCATATTTTAGGAGCACAGGGGTGATTTATTTATTCTCTTAGTGTTTCTAGTGCTTGATTATATAATAGGTGCTTAATAAATCTTCGTTGACCGAGATTGAGCCAAAAATATATAAGTAACTATAGTAAATAATATATAAGTAAGTATAATACAAAGGCAGACTATAGATATTATGAGGAAAAAAAATTAAGTTCTATGATGACTCAAAAGAGGAAGAAAGTATATCCAGTTATGATGAGGAATGCCTTTATGGAAAAATTTTATTTGAATTGAGGCTCAGAAGACAGAACATTCAAGTACTGTACAAGTAGTACCTCCGTTCATGAATGCTTCAGTGTTGGTCAGAATTTTCTTTCTGTTCACAAACTCCACATCAGGTGACAAACAGAACCATGGCCATCTTTGCCACATAAACACAAATGCAGCGGTGTTCTCCAAAGTTGTAAAACAAATTAAGTTTATAAACTAAGGTACCACTGTAAGTAATAATGGTGGAGAACAAAGCAGTACAATAAGAGATATAAAATGAAGAGCCAAGAAAACACCAAATAAGTTTTGATACTTTTATTTGGATTGTACCTGTTACAGAGGTATATAATGGGAGATGAGCTTAAAAAATAATAGATTGCCCATATATTTTTTATAACTGCCTTGCTGATTTACATGTAACTGGATAAATTTAAGAATTCACTAAAAATTCTTTGGACTGAGAGAGTGACATCATTATAATAGGCGCATAGGAAGATTAGATTGGTAAAATATTATAGGGTTGTGAAGTAAGAAGAGATGAGTTAGTGAGTTGTCTTCATATTTTTGGTGTGAGACCTGGGAATCTGAGCTATCCATGGGGATTAATGATAAAGATTCAAAGAAGGAAAATGTGAAATATTATTATTGTACTTACAGAATTTTAGGTCTCCAGCAATATCAATATTTCATGTTCTCTTGAACTCAGTATAATAAAATTGAAATAGAAGGGCAGTGATGTCCCTGTAACCATTTATCTTTTTAAGTATTACTGAAAGCTTGTCTTCATAACTGCCAGAAATAAAGAAAACCCTAGAAGGTATTGATAGTTGCAGCTGAGACAGAAGATTGTCTACTTTGTTTCCTCTGTATTAGCTTTAATCTCCCTATGTTTGTTGTTTATTTTTTACCTTCTCCTAGGAGGAAAACAATGTGGTTCATAACCAGAAAGTAGAAATTCTGAGAAAAATGTTACAGAAAGAACAAGAACGACTGCAGGTACTAAATTAGAAATGGGGCTGTTGACAGGCCAGTAAAGATGTGAGTGGGAATGTTTGGATTGGTATTTATCCTAATCACAATCAAGTAGAATTGTAATCAGTGCCACCAACTACTTTATTGATTAATAATGGATGTTTTTCTGTGTTTTCATGACATAAGTAATTAATTCTTAAAACACTTTTATAACTTTTCAGTTACTGCAGGAAGATTACAACCGAACTCCTGCCCAGAGATTGCTAAAAGAGATCCAAGAGGCCAAGAAACACATTCCTCAGCTGCAAGAGCAGTTATCCAAAGCCACAGGCTCTGCTCAGGTAGCATCACTTTTAAAAATGCTACCTAACTTTTTGCAGGAAAATTTTCTTCTAGGAATGTGTCAGAGAATGTTGCAGTTGTCTTTTCAAAGTGATTTTTCTATCATAGGACACTATGTCCTGTATAGATGTTATAGAAATAGTGATTAACAAAAATAAATGTGGGCTTCTAATTGTTTGCTCATATCACTCATTTTTCTTTATTGTATAATTTTAAAAGCAATTGAGTTCTTTACTTTGATGTAACAAACTCCAAAAATGTATTTAGACAAATATATTTTTTGGATTCATTCTGCTATCTTAAAACAGAATGACCGTTGTTACATTTTTAAGTAGGAACATAGTATTTTAAAAAATAACAGGCATTGTGCTAAGTACATGGACAAGCATTCTCTTATTTAATATGTGCAACAAACCTCTGGGCTTAGGTACTTTTGTTTTACCCCATTTTGTGTGTACAAAGAAACTCAGATTAAGTAACTTGTTTGAGGTCATGTAGCTCAAAAGTAATAAAACCAGAATTAAAACCCATTCTGAGGATTTCAGTGCACATTTATATTCTTAATGACTATATTTTTATTGTAATTTAAAAGTAGATTTCAATAGAATTTGTTATGGGGGTATAAATGTTCTTTGTTTACATGCAATCGCACATATACTAGTCATATGTAGAATACAGAAGGTTTTTTATACTGTATCTTCAGGTAAAATGGGCAAATTATATATTTATGACTCAAACCTGATGATTTGGCAATATTCTTGAGTTAAATTTGAAAGAAAAGCCACTTATTCATAGAATTGAAAGGATTCTGTGAGATCATCTAGCCTAATCTGTTCATTTTTAAGTTAAAAAATGATGTGTTTAAGAAAATTATGTCCAAAGATAGTTAAATGACACATTCAAGGTTAGGAAGTATGTAAGGTCTCCTGATTTTCTGATTTAGTGTGCTTTTCATTGACACTTTAAAAAGTTATTTTAGTCTTCATTATGTCACATTTAGTATGCTTCCATAAGGTTGACAGTTTTACGTTGTTGTTATTGAACAAAGAGAATATTCTTAAACAGTAAAACTGTGGTTGCTGATCTGAAAGCTTGCACTAACTTATGTTGTAGCATTATATCCCAGAATTGATGGTGACTTACTGAAACACAGATGCATTACAAGGCAGTTACCCAGAAATTATATTGTAATGATCTCTACTAATGGACATATTATATGAATTAACAGACTTTGGGAGGGGTGGTTATATTTTGAGGTTGAAACTTCCAGTTTCTTCACTAAAATATCACTTTCCCTGTCTTTATGGTCATACCATTTATAGGCGCCTGCCTGACAAGCACAAGGTCCTGAGTTCGATTCCTGGTTCCAAAAAAACAAAACAAAAAAATAGAATCATAGAATTAGTAGTTATTTATGCTTTTTACTGTAAAAAGCATTAATTAAGCATTCTTAATTACACCACAGTATCCAATCTTCAGCAGTTTCCAGGTAGACCATAGTTAAGCTCTATTTCTTTATGTAGTCAGTAATGAACATTCCCGTGTGTGTGTGTGTGTGTGTGTGTGTTTGTTTCCTGTTTTAGGATGGAGCTGTAGTTCCACCCTCCAGACCTTTTGGTGACTCCCTAACTGTCATTGAGGCCGAAGCAGATCCTGGAGATGGCCTGGGCAAGACTGACTGGAGCAGTGGAGAGACATCTAGGCCCAGTAGTGACAGTGCAGATGTAAGCATTTAAGTGTTCTTAATTTGAATCTTATTGTGTTCTTCCTTTTAGCCCCTTTCTTGATTTGATTTTAAGTTACATAAATTAGAGGTGTTGTATTTTTACTTGCTTGTTACCATCCCAGTCTTTAATACAGCAATTTGGTAAACAGAAATTCTGGGTACTGTTGTATATGAGCTTTTAATTCCACAATTCACTTTTTCCCTCAGACATTTATTGCCAAGTGTTTCTTTTGCAGGAATGGAATTTCCCAGCCGCTGTCTTGTTTGTGGGTAGAGAAGTTAATAATGCCAGTGCTTTTTTACTGAACCGAGAGGCCAACTGTTGATATCTTAAGAGCATGTTAATATTCCATTTGTGGTCAGAGTGACTCAGTCTTGAATCATGGGGCACTTTGCCATTACAAAGAGGAAAAGCCTTAGTCCTGTTTGATAGGTTTCAGTTAATAGCTCTGGTTTAGTAATAGCACTTTCTTGATTAATCAGAGACTACCAGATGAATATCAGTACTTGTTAAGATGATAATAAAATATGTGAAATTGAATATAATGTAGTACCACAGTTACATGAATGTTAAAAGCCAAGTTCAGAGTTACTGAAGTAGCATGTAGTGATATCAATAAAGATCTAAATCACTCTCTTTAAAAATGATGAAGGGCAGTAGTTGGAGCGACTATTTTTTTAACTGTGGGTCATGAAATCAAGTTAATGGATTGTGACTAGTGTTTTCTTGGAAGACCAAAATAGGAAATAAAGCTGATTTGTATGTAGAAGGGATGTTACCACTGTGATTTTTGTTGTATACACATAGACATTATAAATGCTGGCTGACAATGTAAGGTTTCTCTCTTATTGAAAGGTGTACTTTAAAAAGAAATGTGAAAGCTGTGGTGTACATGTGCCACAATTCAGGCTACCTTTTTAGGCATACGCCCAGTAACTTGGTTCTTCATGCATAGAAAATCTGACACTTTCTGGAAAGATAGTTTTGTGATTGGGTTAAAGATTTTAAAGGAAAATTTAAATTTTGATGAGAAAAATTTATAATAGCTAACCTTTATTGGTCATACATACTACACACTGATAATTCCTTAGTTAATTCTCAAAACAGCTTCATGAAGTAGTACTATGGTTGTAACTTTATAAAAGAAAAAACTGAGCCCAAAGGAAATTAATAGACTTGCCAAACTTACCCAGGCAATAGGTGATCTACCTCTACCTAGCTCCAAAGTACCATTACTCTGAATATAAACAAAGGCACTGAAGTGTAAAAACACCCAACATTTTGGGAGAGCAGTGAAAATTCTGGGGCAACCTGGTGTATTAGGGTTATAAATGAAACAGCTAGAGATTAGCTTAGAAAAACAGACTTGAATACAGGCCATAAATGGCTGAGTTTGGCTTGTTGCAGTGGTACTGCTTTTGGGAATCCTTGTACTTTCATTTTTTGTTTAGTGCTACTTCACCTTTGTTTCTGTGGATTGCCTGTCATTAGACAGAAGGTTCTGATAGGAAGTTCTTTGAGAGCACAGACACTGTTATGGCATTCTGTTTCCAAAGCATAATCCATGCAAGTGATAACACATGAGACATTTAAATTTTATCTTGTTTTTTGGTGTTTTGTTTATTTTTTGAGACAGGGTCTCACTATGCAGTTCAGGCTGGCCTTGAACTCATAATGTAGCCCAGGATGGCCTTGAACTCAAGGCAATCCTGCCTCAGTTTTCTGAGTGCTGGGATTACAGGCATGCACCACCATGCACACTTTTATCTTGTTTTTAGAGGAATATGGGGTTAAAATCTGTGGCTTAGAATATTACTTTATTGAATAACAAGTTAATTGGTGAGTATGCAATAGGCATTCCATTGAATGAAGACTAATGTGTAATTGATATTTGGTAAGAATTTCAGTGGACAACAAAATAAATAGATAAACTATTTAGGCTTTATCTTGCAAACAGCAGAGAGGCACCATCAGAGATATAGCAGTATAGAAAATGAATTGAAATAAAGAGAGAGATATCTGTAAGAAGACTGCTCAGCCTCATTCACATGTGTGTTGAATGACTAGCAGTTAACATTTACTGAATGCCTGTTTTGTGCCAGAGGTTATTATATCTCGTGCTTTACAAATAATTCTTTTTAAATTCTCATATTCTTAAGCAATATCACTATTTTATTTCATTTTTTTGTTGTTTTTTTTTTTTTCCCCAGTACCAGGAATCGAACTCATGACCTTGCACTTGCCAGGCAAGTGCTGTGCCGCTGAGCTAAATCTCCAGCCCCCATTATCACTATTTTATAGATGAAGAAAATAAGACTAAACAAATAAATGGTTATTGAGGAAGTCAAGATTAGGATATCTGCTGAATATATAACAAGCTCATTTAATTCTCACAAGTGACTGAGGCTAAAAATGTGCTGCTTATGATTTACAAGGTTCTGTGTTTATTCTGCTTGCACTGCAATAAATTTGGAGGAATGAGTCTTCTTAACTTTTGAATCAACACTTCTAATTTTTAAAATTTTCTCAGTTTTATAAAATGGTCCTCTGGTAGTGTTTGTAGAGTTACTGTTAATCAAAAATCCCAGCTTTTGTTCATCTTGGCATTTTTTGGTGGTGTTGTTATTGTTTTATAGTACTAGGCAGTGAACTGTAGGGCCTTTGCACTGGGCTATATACTAAGTGGCAATATTGCCTAGCCTGGGCTCAAACTTGTGATGCTCCTGCCTCAGTCTCCCGGGGTGCTTGATGGTACAGGCATGTGGTACCATGCCTGGCTACTTGGTGAAGTCTTTAAATAATTCCATATACCAGTTCTGTCAAGATAAGCACCTTGATCACACATGAATATCTAAAATTCAGAGCATCTGCCTGCTTTTCAGTTTGCGAATGACTTTTTTAAAAAAGTGTGTAGTTGGATAAGTATCAGATGTAATCAAGAGAGGAATAGCTTAATGATGCCTGTGATGTCCTCATAATAAAGCCTCAGCATCTGTCAGCATGCACTCAAACCTGTTTTGTCTCTAGCTACTATTCTCCACCTCCTCCAACACTGGTGTACTTTAAGTAAACCCAAGGCTTTATTTCATTAATATGTGTCTTTATCAGGTGAATATAAGTATAATACGGTTATCAAACCTTAAGAATTATTATTTTCTTAATGTGTAGTTTGATTATGCTAATTGCTTTATAATGATCTTTTTATGATTTTTTAAAAATCAGGATCCAAAGATTTCATATTACTTTTGGTTGATAAGTCATTTTAGACTGTCATTTATAAGCTTCCTGTCTTTCTT